CAAGAATTCCAATATAATCAAGAATGCATGCAAAAATCCTTGGACGAGGTATTTATATTATATTTTATTTATTTATTAAACCCAGCTTGTTTTAACATTGTTTTTAAAATCATTGCATTGACCATGTTATCCTATAGTAGTTTATAAATAAATAAAAAATAAGGTTAATTTTTGCGCGTAAATATATTAATACTGTCTTTTTATAACACTAATACTGTCTTTTTGTAACAAAAGCGCAACCTCAACAATAAGAAATGTTATATCTTTCAAAGCCTTTTTCTTTTTAATTTCTTTTTCTTCCCCTGTTATTAAATGCATATTCTTTTCATCAATACCATCGACCGTTGAGGATCGTTCCTCAATCAATTCTACTTCAGCAAGTTTTGTTCTAATAGTGTTATCATAAACTGAGCTCATTAGAATTTTTTCACTAACACCGATAGAAAACTCTTCTATCATGTCAGCGGCTGATCCATGTATGCTTGGTGAAAGTAACAATTCATTTCCTAAACATATTTCTCGTTTTTGTGCATGATTACATGATGTAGTATCTTCCTTAATTACACATATATTTTCAGCTGTGGGAGAATGTAATGATTCTATTGCTTTTATTATGGCCGTTAAAATCTTTACTGGACCAGCCGGCTTTCAATAATAAAAATTTTAGTAACATAAAAATGGCATTATTTTATAATGATTGTTCAAATTCTTTTTTTTTTTTATTATTATTAATTACCTTTGATATTACAACAGCAAATTGAACTTTATGTTTCTGTAATGCGTTCTCCGCATTTTGATGATCTTCGATCGTTGAGAAGAATAATATTTTTTGTTTCCTCTCATTCATATGTTCTAGCTCCGCATTTTTCACATTTTCATCATTAACTTTCACAGCTTCATGAAATTGTTCTAACTTGTCCAAAAAGCACTCTAAATTACTAACACTATCATTTAAAATAATAATGTCTGCATGTTCTTTCTCAAATTCAACCTTTAATTCATCCTTATTTATCAATCGGTATTTAAATCCCCACTGGTCTAAATAATATGTTATTTGTCTCAAGAACAAAGTGTTTTCCGATTTTAGTATAGCAAAGGACAAAGATTGTGATTTAGATATTAATAAATTTTGTTCTTCGATAGAAAGTTGTAAATATTTATAATCTAATGGGAATTGGGAAGGAACAATTGATTCTAATCTTTGAGATAAGGGAAGCTCGAGAACGAATGAGAATTTGCTACCGGCTCCAACGGCTGATTTAACTTCTAAATGGCTGTGCATCATATCTAATAGACCTGTTTAATAACTTTTATTATTACTTTCTACTTTTTATTTATTATTATTTCCCATTATTATACTAATTTTTACCTTTGACAATACTAAGACCTAACCCTGTTCCCTCAAATTTTGTACGTAAAGATGAATCTTCCTATTTCCAAAAAAATTTAATTTATAATAAAAGTTTATGTATAATTATGGTGTTAATTCCAACAAACCTGAGAAAACGGTTGACACATATTATTCATAAAACCAGGATCAATTCCACGTCCAGTATCAATAACCTCTATTCGAAACTTAACACTTGATGATTCGGAATTCCTGCCCTCGGATGAAGACGAAATCTTTTTTTTATCATCTTGGTTGGTCTCAACTTCATCAGTTATTTCAACTGTGGTTAGTTCAACATTCCCGTTATCTGTGAACTTAATCTGTGATGAAAAGAATAATGATTAAATTTTGTTGTTTCCTGGCGTAGTTTATTAATTTAAATTTTCATACGTACGGCATTTCCAAGAAGCTATCACCCGATTAACATAAACAGTTTAATATGATTCTTATGAAATTAAATTAATTAAAACATATGGGGGGAAGTCAACAAAATCCAGGCAAATTGTTTTTATTAAAATTTTTAAACTTGAATATCTCAACAAAAACTTAACCAATTTTGATGATTTAATATTCATTTTAGTTCTATAAACTTGTAGAATTAAAATGAATACTAAATCATCAAAATTGGTTAAGTTTTTGTTGAGATATTCAAGTTTAAAAATTTTAATAAAAACAATTTGACTGGATTCTGTTGACTTCCCCCATATACGCATAAATAAAATCATTACATTCAATATGATTTGCCTTAAAACTCCAACATCACCAATAAGAAATCTATGCATCGGATTCATTTCTATATAGATATCGAAATTTAACCTTTTCCGCTCAGGAATTGGTGCCAAACCTATTAAAAAAAGGATTAAAATTTTCTCTTAAAAATCAAAAAAAAATTAAGGAAATACATCAACAAACCATCCACAATTTCTTGGATCACCGTATAAATATCGAATGCATTTTTTTCCTTTTTGCAAACCATAGTTAGTACACAACAATAGAATAATTATTAAAAAATATTTTTTTAAATACATATTAATATGGATTAAAAATTTACTAGTTCCATTTTCCCATGCTCAATTTTTGCATATGTCAAGACTTGGTTGACTACCTATAGAATGTTGTTATAACAAACTAATATTTAAAAAGAAAAACAAAATAAAAAATAAAAATAAAATAAAAATAAAATAAACCGATATTAAGTTTGTTCCACAACTTTCGATAGTATTTAATAACGCGCGTTGAGATTCGTTTAATTTTGAGTTTGACAAAATTTCGACAGTCGCGAGTATACCTATCAAGACAACGAATTATGCCAATTTTCATGATGCTAAAATCAATTTTATGAAACCAAGTTCGACTCGAAATATCGAAATGCGAGCCTTTTTTTTTTTTTTTTTTTTTTGAATCATCTTAATTACTGTAATGTAATTTCGTAATATTTCTCACCATGCAAAGGCTTAGAATACAATTCAATGATATAATATTGAACATTCTCATTAGTTTCAATCCTCCACTTCTACAAGAAAATCTAGTTCTAAGCAAACTTACCGTTCTCAATTCTAAATTTATTGTTACCAGGACATTCAGATATAATAAATACGTGTATTTATATAATGTACAAAATTCACATAATATATGAGAATTATAAATATTTAAAGGAAAATAAGGAAATGACAAAGCCAACGAGATTTAAATATTTATATATTTTTACAAGAAATAAAATAATAAAGACATCGATAGTTGCACATGAATCCTTACCATGACTAACATTGGAAACGAACATAGACTTTGCCGTTTCTGCGGATCTCGCCTAAATTAAATTATCGTACTATAAAATGAGTACGAGTTTTTTTTAAATAAATAAATAAATAAATAAAATATAATATAAATACCTCGTCCAAGGATTTTTGCATGCATTCTTGATTATATTGGAATTCTTG